GATGAAACTCTAGAGTAAGAGCTAGTTTCTTCCCTGCGTAGCGGGTCTTCAAGACTATTAAAACTATAGATTAGTCAATGTTCTTTATAGCATCTCTAGTAAGGGTAAAGAATATTATTGCTTCTATTTGACACAACACATTTAGCATACTTTCACAACACAATTTTTATATTTATCATTGATTCATGATAAGGAATAAAACATTTTATTAATACTGTCTTCATCTTGCAAATATTTTAGTTAAGTTAATTAGTTACTTACTTTATTTTCAATTATCAAAAATTACAAAAAGAATCGAACTTTCATTCCTATTTTAGTATCTTAAGTTTAAGTAAAAATATATTGCTAAATAAATTTTGTTATCTAAAATTAGTCCTCCATCTGGGATTGATATTCGGGACTTAATCAAAAAGTTCTATATTACTTGATAATGATACGTATACTTGCGTAGTATTCCATATTGAAATATTTTAACTGCATTCTTATTTGCTTCATAGTGAAAATTTTACCTAGCTTTTGCTTTGAATCAAGTTTTTGACTTTGTTGCAAATTACGAATATCTAGTAAGGAAATTAATCGCATACATCGCATTTTACATATATCTATATAGAAAATTGAAATCATATTCTTTAATGTCCTATTTGGATAACAAGATTATATGGTAATTTAAGTTATAATAGGATGGAAACTGGCATAATTTGAAAAATAAGTTAACAAATGAAATTCCAACATATGTAATGGACATAATGAAAGCACATCACATATTTTAGAGTTAAATAAAAATGAAAATAATCAAGTTAAAAAAAATTCATGTATTTTTCACTCAAATGTAAATAAAAAGATTAGTTAGAAGTACAAAAATTTATTGCCTTTTAATCCTTGAATAATTAAATCAACAATAAAAAGTCAATAGTTCTTGTACCTACAATTCAAGTAGCTCATAATCATGATTTGGGTATGGTATAACTATCAATATACAATTCAAATAGCTTAGAAAGTGGAATTTTTTTTTATCTCATGATCCAAATCTGTATAGATGATGTATCTCATCAGTCCTCCTAAATTTCATCATTGGTATTATGATATCAATGAAAAAATATCTAGTAATGACATCAACTTAATATTCTCAACCTAATTATTCCCCATCTTAATGAACTGGAGAAGCTCATGCGCAAAAAGTTTAGTATGCATGCTTTGAGGGATGTCAAATTTAAAGATCATATTGATTTAGAGATAAAGGAAGGTCCTAAACATAAATTTTCTATTCCATGATATCTACACCAAGGATGTAATCGGTTTGGATCATGTCAATGTGATTTTTCCAAGAGAATTATCCAATATGACGAAGATAAAATTATATAAATTACTTTGCTCTCAATAATGATCACAATCTTGGTTGAAGTTTTCCTAACAATAATCTCAACCTGTTTGAGCCCTTCTTAATAATGAATTTTGACTCATTTAAGAATGTCTTAGCAAAAAATATCAAACTTAACCATTTTGTCAGCCATGACCGGGATGACTTATGGGCAACCTAAACCTTATTGGAGGTTTTCACAATAATAACTTTCTCTTCGCCTTTAGTGCTCTTTATGACAAGCAAGGTAAGTGTCAATGAAAACATCAGGCAACCTTTTATTTATTGTTCTCTTTTTATCTTCTTCATAATAAATTCAACTCTACCATTATCCTCAACAATATCTTTAACTTAGCATGCTTTTGCTAAATAAAATCTCCTTTTTAATAATCTTAGAGTATGAGGATCGGAATGACATTCATTTTTTTTTTATTTTTTGTAGTAACATTGAAGAATGAACGCATTTCCATATCTTGAGCAATAAAATACTCACAATATTTATAAAGTTTGGGGTATTAATGGATCAATTAACATATTTGTAACTTTTTAAAAATCTTTTTGATTCAATGATTCACATAGTGAAAAAATGATTTTCCATATTCGTTCTCTAATTTTTTCAGCTTCATGAAAGGAACAAGGGTATCAAGAAATTGATTTATGTTGATATTCCCCTCAAGTCAATTGATAAGCCAAAATCAATTTCTTTAAGTCATTGATTACAATCTAGCTTAATTCTCTCATAAATATTCAAGCTTTAAATCATCTAAAGACATCAACTGCCCATATTCATTAAAAGTTGAAATACATCAAGTTGCATAGATCAACAATCTCTACTCATATCTCAAAATTCAAACATTCAACTCGTTCAGTTGGACTTATAGCCTCATTCGCTTGGCGAAACCTCTCTTTCTAAATTTTTGGATTACACGTCAAACTATATATATATACACTAGAAAAACATAAGCTGTATTAATAGCCTGCTTTATATGATCCCAATCAAGACCATTATCTCATGTCAACCAATTAATTACCACCATATCTGAATTCGAATTCTACTATAAATTTAGTATTAAATCAGCACATTGATTGCATTGAGGGCTATTTCCATTATTTCACCCTCATTTCGGTAATTGAGGGCTATTTTCATAATTGCTCTCTTTGTTTTTTTATTATACAAGAAAACCTCCTATAAATAGAAAGCTCGACGATGAACAAAAGGACCCCGGTTGGAGAACTTTTTCCCTGACTTCTCTGTTGATAATTCACTAGCATTTTTTCCTTTCTCTCTACTCCTCATTCTCTCTCGATGCGTGTATTTTCAAATGACAATTCCGAATTCAACAGGCATGCTTTTTAACAACCAATCCAAATCTGAAAATCACATTTTCCATATAGTTGAATCCTCCACCAACACATAGCCAATTAAACCACCCAACAAATAAAACAACGCATTTTGCTCACAAATATCGTCACACAAAGACCAACATCCATTCAATGGTAAATCAAAGCACATAATCGCCAGAGCTAAACAGCCCAATAGAAGCCAAACATTAGAAAATGATGAAGGTAAATTTCCTTACACTCAATAGAAAGGAAATAAATAGGGCCTATGTTGCTTACTGCTAACCTTAATGTGAAAATAACTAGCATATTGCATTATCAAAAAATTTCGAATTAATGCCCATCAAAAAGAATATCAAGCATACAAGAAATTTGAAATCCACCAAACAAATAACAACTACTATAGACCCTAAACCCCTATATTTCACATTATAAGGAAACAAAGAAGTAGAGAGCTGCACGAGTAGGGCACAAAATTCATCATCTCTGCTGAGAAATTTACAAGAATCGACACAAAACCAGAAGAACACAGAGATTTAACGAGGTTCGGCAACGATGTCTACGTCCTCGGGAGCAGTGCGGCGAATTCGCTATTTTAAAGGAGTTCTATTCCCATATGTTACACATCTATTTATAAATAAACTCCACAGATAAATTTACAACACGTCCTCTCTCCCCCCAACCCACTAATCTAAAAGACACACTTCTTCACACCAAGAGACACTCATTTTCATTCAAGGAGACACACATCTCCATTTCAAGATACTCCAAATTTTCTTGTATATGAGTCATACCTAACACTCTCATCCTCCTTCAACTCGGGTGGAATCGAAACTATTCTTCTAACATCGTCGTAGAAAACAGAGCAAAGATATATTAGCAACTGCAAAATCATGTCTTTTACGCAAATACAAAAACCTCAAAAAACAAACCCACAGAAAAAAAAGAATAGATATAAGAGAAATTCGATCATGAATGGTTTTCCCAGAGATGACAATGAACAAACCCATAAAAAAATGAATAGAGTTAGCTCGAATATGCTTGAAAAATAGATTTCTTCTATGCAATCACAGAAATAGCAAAGAACAAACCCATAAAAATTGAAGATTGTAGAAGGTATATCCTTTTTATGCAAAGAAAATGCCTTTGGAGCAACTTCTCTCGGTGTCGCACACATGATTCACTTGGAAAGAAACTAATGAATTGAAGCTATTGGCTCATAACTCAACCTGTTTATTTCAATCTGAACTAAAAATCGAATCGATTTCGAGCGATTAACAACCTTCGAGCTAAACTCACAGCCCTCATAATCTCCTCTAATACTAATCAATTTTTGACCAATGATATTGATTAGATAACTTAAAAATAAATGATTTAAATTAAAAATAGACCAAACAACCAGATTATCATATACCCAAAATTTTAATTTAGAATTATATTAAAAAAATTAAAAAAAAAATCATGAATTAAAATATTATATATTAATTTGATGAAAAGATAAGAGTATATATCATCATTACATCACTGATATATTAATTAAATTAATTAAAAATAATTCTAATATTCATCAGTTGAACCACCAATTAAAGCCTCCGAGACCAACTGCTTCTTCTACTACCAAATTTCAAAACTTTATTAAAAAGAAGTCAGCACTTGAAATGTTTATTTTCATGAATTCATGCAGCAATTCTTGACATTTTGTAATTTTATTTATAAATAAATCCCTTGGTTAATAATATAACAAAATGCAAGCTTTTTTTTTATTTGCTTGTAAGATATTATAGGCTAAATGGCATAAAAATTGCATACATTAGATAAATTAGTAATAATCAAATTTTTTAGGATGTTTAAATATTAAAATATTATAGAAATATATAAAAAAGAGATAATTACATACGTACGACCGGAAACAATGATATTTACAATTTGATAAAAATGACTTATAAATATCAAGTTTCGAGTGGTCATTATGTATATAAATATATGCAAAAATCATACATTACTAACTCAATGACATATGTATTAATCTCCTCCTATTTTTATTTATTTCATAAGAATTCACGTAGAAAAGAGGAGCGAATATTGTGAACACCCGATGTACCTGCCAAACGTGGTATTCAGATGGTATTGAGATGGTATTGAGATAGTTTTGTACATCAATACCAACACAATACCACATCAATATCACACAACACCACAAATCCAAATTTAATCCGAACACAATATTTTTTTCCTTTTTAGTGTCATTGATAAAGCCAAAAAAAAAACAGAAACCTAGAAATAATAGTACGGCCGCCGGCGGTCATCCCGTGCTTCCGCAAGCCGCTGCGGCCGGCGCAGCGGCTGTCGCCTTCAATCCACACCTCTTCCCCTCCTCCCCGCCACACACCTGACGGTCCACATACCCTCGCCGGAAAATAACAGAATATTCTGGCAGCTCACCGAGTCCGGCGAACAGCGCGTCCTCCTCCTCGTCCACCGCCGCCACGCTTCCCCTGCCACCCAACTTATCGCACTCGTCACTCAGAGGAGGTCCGAGCGTCCGGAGACCGGGGGCCCGTAGAGGGGGCCGCCGTCGTCGTCGGCGGCGGCGGAGGAGTTCGACGGCCACCGGAAGTGGTCGTGAATCAGCATCGACGGTTCTTCTCCGATTAGATCGGAGAATATTTCTTCGGGATCGGAGGCCGGTTCGGCGGGGCTTGTTTCGACCGGTTTGGGGTCCTCGGCCGTTTTGGTTTTCTTGTGGACCGGGGGCCATGGGTGATTGTGTTCCGACGTGTAGGTGACGATGAACATGGTGGGGTCCGCACGGCTTCTCTCTACCTGTTTCCTTGCGGGACAGCCCTTCGAACTGCTACATCTGTAATAGCCCCTGCGTTATCCCAATCATAAATTTTTATTAATTAAAAAAATAAATAATTCGATTACAAAGTTTATTAATTTTTTTTCAAATTATAAATTTATTTTGATATAAATATAATCAAAATTAATAATTTATCAAGATTTATACACATACTACTCAATTCCTAATATATATATATATATTGCATTCTTTATATATATATATATATATTGATTGTATATTTCAAGGGGAAATTACATCGCATCCTAAGTATTCTTTTTCATTCATTTTTCAAATTCTTACTAAAATATCAAAATTAATGAAAAACTCAGATCGAAATTTTCACTTTTATTAAAATCTCAATAATTTTATCGTGCCACACGTAAAAATATTGGTTTGATAGTTCAAAAATATCACCTTGAATGCTATATTTTGTAAATAGCAATGTTTTAAGTGCTATGTGTGTAATTATAACTTTTAAAACTTAAAATAATGATATATTTGACAAAGGTTTGGGTGGTATTTCTATAAAAATCAAAGTTAATGTGTTTGGTATTTAAATACATAAAAATTAGGAGGTATGTATATAAATGCCCTATTATTTACATATTACCCTTTTTTAAAACTAAATTTACAGTTTATGAATTCTATTCTGCCTAAAGTCGGGTGGAAACATGAAAACATAATAATAAGAATGTTTTTTAATAAATGCCACAATTAGTAAGCTATCAAACATGAAAACTAAAATCCTTTTCAACATTGAATTTGATTAGAAACATTTTCCTAAAAACTTTAACTTAAAATAATTGGTTTGATTTCTTTTTCTATGATTAATTTGAATTACTTTAATTCCACTTATAATTAATCATAAAAATAGAAAAAAAAAAGATATTTTTAATAAAAGGTTTTATCCCAAATTGCAATTTATATTTCTATAGTAAACTATGGAGAAAAGGAAGGGATAAGTAATGCTAGCATGTTAAAGACAAGCTGCCCTTGTTGTACACTTGTATTAATGAATTATAAAACAAAAAAAATAAATTTTAAACATTATGGGCACATTCTATGCATTTATTTTGAATCAAATCTAACCAAAATAATAAATTTGTCACACTAAAAAAAAAAAGAAAAAATAATTTTAAATGAAAAACTAACCATTTGATTTCATTTTTGATGATCAATACAATGAATTATAACATTTTCTTCACTTTCTTTTCATTAAAAACCTTAAAAGGAAGAAAAAAACTATCTTCTTTTTTTTTTTCTAGCAAATCTGTTATTTGCAGAAGAATTATATCTCAAAATCTGATTTTGATAAAGAAAAACAGCTGCTTTTTGATAAAAGTTAGCACCTGGGATAAGGAGAACCCTTGATCGGCTTCTGCCCATACTTTCTCCCCCCCGGCCGCGCCCCCCCCCCCCCCCCCCCCCCGCCGGTCTTCAGCCGCGGCACCCCCTCGAATTCCGGCACCGGCAACGACACCACCCTCTTCTGCACTGACCGCCGGCTGTCGGTATCCCCAACAAATATAAGTAAAAAGGTTAAGAAAACGTAACAGAGAGTAATCAGAGGATCGCCGGAGATGAACGGTATTGAGCTGACCTTTTCTTGGGAGAAGGCTCTGGTTCAGGATAAGGGCTGAGCTCCGGTGAGGTACCGGGATCTTCCTTGGGGTACATGAATGAATAAGATGAAAGATGGAGAGCTTATAGAGAGGAATTAATATTTGGTAGGAAATGCAGGAGAGGGATGGGTGGGGTTTGGTGCTTTTAAGAAGAAGGGATGGGGGGGGCAGTTCCGTGGTCTTTGTTCTCATCTGTATATATTTATTCCATGAGGGAGGTAGGAATAAGTATGTAGATTATTGATCATATTATCTCATGCACTCATTCATTCATTTATTTATTTATTTCAATTGTTTTTTTAATGGAGATGTGAAAAGTATTCTTTTGCAACTATGACTTTTTTGTGATGGTGAGGAGTGGAAGGGATCAATGATTAAAAATTAGGTTTTTATTTATTTATGTTTATTTAGATTGTTGAATAAGCTTAATATTTTTTTTCTTTTAATTTTTTGATATATGAATGAATAAATTTGAATGTTTAATTTTTTTTCTTTGGGTATGTAAATATTATTTGTTGTTAAGTTGTTGAAGCCTTATTTGTTCATGACAATATGTGAGTATTTATATAATTAGACTATTAGATGCATGGTAGGGAGGAAGCATTTAGGTGGAGGAATGGAGTTGAGATATATTGTAACAATTTGAGGTCCTACTCATTGAGTTTTTGATATCGTCCACTTTTGTGATGGTTAAGAGATCAATTTTAATCTATTTAAGGGATTTCACATGTTTTTATCATGAGATGTATATGTATAAGTATATGTATGTATCTATGCATTTGTGTATGTATATGTATCCATCTATCCATATGTTTCTATTTATCTATATGTGTGTCTGTATGTATGTATGTATGTATGTACATTTGTATCTATGTGTGTGTGTGTGTGTGTGTATATATATATATAT